TTGGATGGTATTTCTAAAATTTTATGAAACTTATGGGGTGATTATGTAATTTTTTAGAACTTCAGGGGGTGATTTTAAAATTTTCTGAATTTTTTTTCTGGGGAGAAGAAGTTGAGGAAGTTGAAGCCGAGAAGAAGCTTCAGAACGATGGGCCAATGATCGAGGATGTGAAAGAATATAAATTACATTAAGCAATTTATATCAACGTGACGAAGACGACGATGACCACTGACCACGAAGACAACGCTGAAGATTTTTCTTTTTTTAATGAGACCAAGAAGCAATACTAGAGCAAGAGCAAAGCACGACAACAATAACATACCAAGAAAGAGAAAAGCAATAACAAATAAACAAACAAAAAAATACAGTCACGATGAGCAGTGTAAAAACAAAAAGAAAGAGAATCAATAACAGAGCAGTGGAGACCAAAACGGGGCAAACACAATTGCGATGAATATTTTTTTTTTTTTCTTGCTTACAAACCTTTGATTTCTGGATTTTTTCTTGCTGGCTCGATGAACAGTGCCACAATGTGATTTTTTTTTTGTGATTTATATGAATCGAAATTGAGCTCTAATACTAAATTGATGTAAATCGTATTAGGGAAGAAGAAGGAGATGAGAAAAAAGAGAGAATTCGAGAAGAGAGCAAAATATTCAATACCAGTCGTTAATAGTAATCAAAAGTATCCCACAACAAATATGTATCCATATATATAAGGATTTCACAAATCCTATATATATAAGGAAATCACAAACCCTAAAATAAATAAATAATCAAAATGACAACTAAGTCCCTGAAAAATAAAATGACAAATAATTCCTAATCCCTACATCTGCGCCTATTATAACGAAATATAATCTGATTCTTATCAATAAGTATGGTGTCAAGGCCTACAATAAGCCATAAAGAATCACAATGATCAAGACGATGTTCACCAAAATTCATGAAACCTCATGATCATTGTCCTCGTCTCTTATAAGGGCAACAAAGATAGGCAAGTGATGATTGAGATTGTGTGGAACAATATCTATGTGAACCCTCAATGAACCTAAATGGGAATGAATAGGTCATACAAAAACTATTATAAATTCAAAAATGATCGAACTAATTCAACAATCCCACATAAAAACAAACAAAATTAGAGACATAAAACAATAAAGCATGCAAACATGAACAAAATAATTTTAATGTGGAAAACCCCAACAAGGTAAAACTATAGGACCAATTAATGCCCCAACTCAATCCATTACAATGCTTACAATCCCTGCTAGCCACACTAGCTATAATGTATACTCTCATATCATACTCCTCCTGACGACAACTCTCGTTCAACTCGCGTCCAACTTTGGCTCCTACAATGATGGTTTGATCACTCTCCCTCCTTGAAACGCTTGCCAACTATAGTCCTTTTATCTTCCAACTCCAACTTAGAACTTCAACGACATCATTGGATTAATTAAAAGGGATAAAACGGTAATTAGTCATTATAATATGGGTTGAAAATTCAAATTTTTTTAGAACTTGAATGACAAAACGGACTTCACCGTTGGATTCGTCTTGTGAAATCTAGTTGTCTTATCGATTTATGTAAAATTCTAAAACAGTAAAAAATTTTGCGTTTTACCATGTATCGGGCATCGCGTGATCAAAATAAATGCGATCAAATTTTTTTCACAAAACTTAGAAAATAATTTAAAGTTGGTTCAAATAAAATATACTAAACTTAAAACTGCACGAGATTTAATTGATTCAGAATAAAATCGGATTAGAAAAGACGAAACGTGTGAGTTAATGAGAATCAAATATTAGGGGGTATAAATAGGGCCATTACCACATGCAAATTCCGGATAGAGAGAGATGAGAGAAAATCAAAGTTCTCCTTCATTTCCTTCTCCAATCTATGATGATCCGATCGTTGGATCCCTTCAGACCAAGAACCAAAATTGTTTTATGCGACGAGAACTCATACATACCAAAGATCGCGTGTTTCGCCATAGTCTCGAAGACGGAATTTTTGGGAGAGAAGCTTTAATGCTTAATTTGGATTTTTTAGAACTTCTCGTACGCGGATTTATGCATTAAGAGGTAGAATTCTTTTCTTAATTAAGTTTATTTTCAACGTAGAGTTGAAATATGAAATGGGTAGGGTGTTATAGATGAAATCTCATGTATAAAACATGCCTAGGGTTTTAGGAAATGGAAATGGGTATAAGAATGTGTTTAGACCAATTCCTGTACTATTGAGTTTTGGTAAAATTATTTACTTCAGAATTTCATGAGAAATATGTTGATTTGGACATGCTATGTGTGTACAAAATCTTGTGTCTTATAGGTGTTTGATAAAATGTCTATGAATGATTAAATGTGTTATTTGAGATGAAAATGATATAACATGCTTAGTAGAGACTGTGGAATGTGATTATATGCTTATGAAATAATGGACAATTGAATATGTTCTTAGTATGCTCATAATATGATAACCACGATATGGTAATTGTAATTATACATTACATTTACATATGCACGGGTAGTATCGCATTCGTGAGCAACTGACATGAATGTGGGTGTGTATGCATGCTTTTGATTAAATACTATTCTTATGGGGTTGATATGTGGGCTCGGAAAGGTTGGACATAAGTTCGACTAAGTTGCACAGATTGCATTGAAAACAAGGGTCAAGTGTAATAAGAAGGGATAAATCCTTCCTCGGGTGTAAGACCCGGTTACTTGGTTCACGCACTTATCCTGTGGTAAAATTCTTAAAAAGTGTGTAGGCGTACGCAGAGCCTAGGGTGAGATGTCCTTGAAATGTTGTGTGAGTTGGTAGTTCCTTGGTGAAATGTCCATAAAATATCCACCCAAGAAAGACCCGAGATTTTGTAAAATGATAATTGGATGTTCAATATCAATGACGGGAGCCTAAAATGCCTAAATGCATACGCATAGCAATGCATGTATTATAGAAGCCGATAGAAGGCTTGAGTTGGATTGTATGTGTGAGTTTCATCTCATGACATGACACGACACGACATTGTGGTATTTATTTATGAATTTTATATTTTTGAATTGATGTTTGATTGATGAATTGCATTTGAACATTTCATATGTTTCTAGGTTGAAGAGTAGAGGCCAAACAGGTATTGCATAATCTAAAATAACCATCAAAGAGGCCACTAATCAATAGCCGTGGAATTTAGTCAATTACAAAAATACCCTTAAAATGATCAATCAAAACATGGCAAGTATCACACAATATTAAGGAAAATAACACAAAAAATCATAAGTTTTTGGACAGATGGTTCTTTTTTTCTAAAAAAACTCATCTTCACATGTTTTGGTAGTGCACACAACCCAAATTATCCAAACAAATTCTATAGTCTATAGGAACTACTACACCCTTCCTTTATCCATCATATTAAGGAAAGAAATAATCACCAAGGAAAAAACTTTNCTTTTATCTTCCAACTCCAACTTAGAACTTCAACGACATCATTGGATTAATTAAAAGGGATAAAACGGTAATTAGTCATTATAATATGGGTTGAAAATTCAAATTTTTTTAGAACTTGAATGACAAAACGGACTTCACCGTTGGATTCGTCTTGTGAAATCTAGTTGTCTTATCGATTTATGTAAAATTCTAAAACAGTAAAAAATTTTGCGTTTTACCATGTATCGGGCATCGCGTGATCAAAATAAATGCGATNTAGAAGGCTTGAGTTGGATTGTATGTGTGAGTTTCATCTCATGACATGACACGACACGACATTGTGGTATTTATTTATGAATTTTATATTTTTGAATTGATGTTTGATTGATGAATTGCATTTGAACATTTCATATGTTTCTAGGTTGAAGAGTAGAGGCCAAACAGGTATTGCATAATCTAAAATAACCATCAAAGAGGCCACTAATCAATAGCCGTGGAATTTAGTCAATTACAAAAATACCCTTAAAATGATCAATCAAAACATGGCAAGTATCACACAATATTAAGGAAAATAACACAAAAAATCATAAGTTTTTGGACAGATGGTTCTTTTTTTCTAAAAAAACTCATCTTCACATGTTTTGGTAGTGCACACAACCCAAATTATCCAAACAAATTCTATAGTCTATAGGAACTACTACACCCTTCCTTTATCCATCATATTAAGGAAAGAAATAATCACCAAGGAAAAAACTTTATGGGACATCTAAATCGTCCTTCACTAAAGCAGACACTATATGCCATAACATATCAGTAATCCATTAATAAAAACAAAAAAAATCTCATTTCTTTAACTGTTCTACGGGAAACACAAAGTTAGACCATACAATATAGGATGAGAAGTTGATATTGCCCTTTAATGTTCTAAACTTCCTAATGGCCCCACTGAGCCACTGCCCTGGCTACGCCCCTTGTTGCACCAAATCTGTTATAATCTAAGGCTCTGTTTGGCTGGAAGGAAAATGGGGTGGATAGAAAATGGGAGAAGGAAAATGGGGTGGATGGAAAAGCTTTACATTGTTTGGTATCAAAAGAAATAACAATAGAAAGGAAAATTGGAGGGAGAGTTTTTCCCTCCTACCCACAATTTGCTTTTCCCCCAAAAATGGGTTAAAAATGAGAAAAAAATATAACAATTTGGCTTTTGAAGGATTATTTTACTTTTTGCCCTTTGTTATATTCTAATGATTGGATTGATTTGTAATATTAAAATTCACTTCATATATTTAAAGGATAGAATTGTAAAATTGGATATGCATGATTTTCGTTTCTCTTAATTTTTCATCTAATATCAAACAATAAAAAATATATCCTTCTATTTTTCATCCCAGTAACCAAACAAAAAAGATAAAAAAATAAATTTCTTCCCTAGATAGAAAGTTTATTCCGTTCACTGTTCCTTTCTTCCTTCTTTCCAAGATAAATGAATGGTGGGCACCTAGACATTTATCCATTGTTGAAAGTATATTTATAATACTCTTCCCATATAAGTTGATACATTTTCAATTCAATGACATGTGTCATCAAAATGAAGACGCTTAAGACAACGATCAGGAGTAATAATTACAGCAATGCATGCAATCAACGAAGCGGAATGGAATGTAGTAACTACCGTGCTGCCCCATCGATCCCGGGCATCAATATTGGCCTTCCTGCTCAACAACAACTTCGCAACATCCACATGCCCTTCACACGCCGCAATATGCAACGCCGTTCTCCCATCCAAATCAATGCTATTCACGTCGGTCCCATCATCCAACAAGTCCTGCACTCCCTTCACATCCCCTCTACACGCCATGAACAGCAACTGCATCGTAGAATCAAGATTCTCCGGCACGCTGAGGTCATCGTTTACCGGGCTCCTCCTAATCGGATCGAGCGAGGACTGCCGTCCAAAACTGAACCTCACATTATTGCGCCGCGGATCAAGAGAATTCTGCCTTCTAAAGCTGAATTTTCCGCTTCTTCTCAATGAACCTGTTGAGTAATTCTTTTCCTTGATCACAAAATTTTCTTGTTTGTCAAAGAATCGAAACAAACAATAAGTATAAACAAAAAAGAAGGAACCTGTGGAGAATTGGCGCGAGATCCCTCTCTTTAACTGTGCAGCTATGTCCATTGCCATCCCTCGAAGAATTCTAATTCTCCCAAAAGATCATGCTCGTCACCGAGATTAAGTGCAATCACGATAATGTCGAACAATTTTATGAAGAAAATATATGGCCGGTGTGGAAAAATTTCGATTCAGAGAGAGAAAGATGGATGGAGATTACGATTTGAGTATAATTGCATGGGTCTCTGTGATTGAATTTGGTAGTGAGAGAAAAGCTCGATCGAGAGCTCGGTGAAGCTCCCGATAACGAGCAAAAGTAAGGAAAGATTGGATCGAGAGCTATGAATTGAGGGTTGACAGCTAAGATTGATTGTAGGAGATGAGAATGAGACGCTGAGGTTTGAAGATGGAGTAATGAATGGGTTTTTTGGATTTTTCTTTTCCACAGACTTATCCGTAAAAGCCGTTACTACGTTACATTGAATATTTTTCTCCAGTTAATGGGGGGTTGTCTTTTGGGGGCAAAGTTTCTTTTCGGTTGTCATGTTTACTGTTGGATTGGTACCCCATTCATGGTTGGCCGATTAGGTGAAAATATAAGGCAGTGAGCTGGATAGTGCTGCCCATTACATATACAGGTGGGACGTGGGGTTGCGATTAATCAAAGCGTCAAAAATTTTGGATAAAGAAGAGGTCTAAATAAAAAGTTTTTTTTTTTTTCACAACTAGAGGTATTCATACTTTGTAGTGTTTTAAATATCAAGTCATATTATTTTTTTTTTTATCCTGAAAATGGTATATTCACTAATCAATAGATGAGAAAGTGCAATCATCATTCAGGATAGAAACTAAATCTGGAGGTAGGCACCAAAGACCCACAACCCAATTGAGGGGATTACACCACTTTTGGGTTTATTTTGCTACCCAGTGGACAGCATTGTTGTGCGCTTTTGGCAGATAAGTTCAAATTCCATCGCGTAGCACACCTTCGGATATCTTCCAAGAACAATACTATTTTCCAAGGGGATCATCTTCATTTGAACTCACTTTGATAATCTGCAAGTTATCACTCTCGATGATGGCGTCATTCATCTAGCTCTTACTGCAGTAGCTTCTGCAAACAAAGTCGAGACAGGCTCAATCCTCTTAGCCTTTCCACCCACTAGTTCTTCTGATGAATTTCTTACAGTAACTTGTAGGGATGCCCTTCCACAGCGGATTTTGCTCATCAAGTTCTTGTTTGATCTGCCCATTTCTCAAGTGAGTCAATAGCTTCTTGATCACTCCTATACCCAATGTCCATTCCATACCAAACGTTCTACGTCCAATTGCATTGGACTAACATGTGTTCCACTATTTCTACCTTTTTGCCACGAACACAACATAGCAGAGAAGGGGAGCATTACCTTTTAAATAGATTCTCTTGTGTCACGGAATGCAGAGATACGCTCTGAATCCTCATTTATGATTATACACATAGGTTACACGACACAACTTAGAGAGGAGGGGTGAAGAGGTTTTCAAATTTTAAGCTTATACTATAAAATCCGGGTAAATTTGAACTTTTTATGAAAATGGGTAAAACGGTAATTTGTTACTACAGTACTAGTTGAAAATTAGGATTTTTTCTAAAACTCGGATGACAAAACGGATTTCCCCACTGGTTTTATTTAACGAAATCTAGCCGCTCAGTCAATTTTCGTCAAATTCTGAGGCAGTCAGATTTTTTGCATTTTACGAAGTGATTGGGGGATGGGTGATCGCATAAACGAACTCGGGAATAAAATTTTAAAAATTGGATAAAAATTTAAAATATTTTGAACTTCAATCGAGATGACATTTAATCAATTCGGGTCAAAATCAAACCCGAAAAAAGAGAACGTGTGGTGAAATATAGATCAAACATTTAAAGGGTATAAATAAATGAGAAAATTTGATTTTTTCCCCATTTTCAGCTGGGTCTTCACATTGGAGAGGGAAGAGAGGAAAAAAGAGACTTCTAAACTTTTATCTAAGATCAACGCCCTCCCATCGCTCGAATTAACACGAGCCAATAATAAAAGTCGATCTCCTCATTGTGGGCTACACGACCTTACCAAAAATAGCGGATTTCACCGAAGTTTCAAAAATGAGATTTTGGGAAAAGCTTGGATTAGGGCTTGTTTTGGGTTCTTAAAGCTTCCTACGGTTATTTTACACTTCAAGAGGTAGAGTTTTATCCTAATTAGGTTTATTTTCAACCTAGGATAATTATATGAGATAGGTAGGTTGTTAGATATATTCAACACTTGTCTATTGTTGTAAATTGATGAAATGGGTAGAATAAATTTTATCTTGAATTGGGTATGTAGAATTTACTTAATTTGATTTCTTGAGACTTGTGATGAAATTGGACATTTTATGTGATTACATAATTTGATGTCTTGAAGGTGTTTTGATTTAAATGCCTACGTGAAATTAAGTGTGTTTTGCATATATTATGTATAACATGCTTGAAAAATTGTTGTTGAACGAAAATGTTGATATATTGACATTATGAGTATTTATAGAAATTATATACTTAGGATATAATTATCCATGTTGTATGTTGAAATGTGGTAGAAATTGTTCGTATTGCACTCACACGTATTGGACATGAGATTGATATTGCAATTTGTACACTACATTGTATATGCATGAAGACATCGCATTATGTGGGTGAGTGTGTGTGGTTGTCATCAAACATCACACTTGGTGGATGATGAATGGGCTCGGATTCGACCCAGTTAAATCACATAGTTTGCACTATAAATTGGATCGGGGTTAGTAAGAAGGGCTAGACTATCCCTCAGGTGCAAGAGCTAGTTACTTTGGATATGCACTTCGTTGGTATAAAGTCCATAAAGTGTGTCGATATATGCGGAGCCATTGGTGGGAATCCATAAATGTCGTGTCGATTGTGTGACCCTTGGTGGAAGTCCATGAACACCCACCCCAAGAAAGACTTGGGAATTTAATAGTCATTAGATGTGTAACATCAATGATGGAGGCTTGGAATACCCGGATTGCATGCATGACATTTGCATGTGTTGAGGGAGGCGGTAAGGGCTCGGGTTAATGTGCATGAGTGAGTCTGATCTCATTTCATGGCATGACATAGTGATTCCTATCATTGAATTGCATATTCTTGGTTGGAATGGTTGTTGCTTGTTGAATGTTGCATGTGAACATTTTATATGCATCTATGTTAGGGAATAGCTTCTTTAGGAAATACCCTATTGAGCATGACTCACCCTTTATGGGAAAGCATTTAAGGTGCGGGTCATATGCCGATGAATGGTTCACATTTGGAGCCTCAAAGTTGAAGAAAATCTAAAATGTGGCTTTTAAATCATGTTTTGAAAAACTTTAATGTAATTTGATTTTGGGCATGTAATTATGTGAAAATGATTGTAATTGAACTTGTATGAACTATGTTTGATGTGAAAACTTCATTATACATGTGTTGGGTTAATTTAGAATGGATTGAAATTGAAAAGGGAAGGAATCGTAGGAAAACTGGTAGAACGTCGAGTACTTCTACCAGAAGGTTTTCCTACTGGTAGAATATGGTCATCTTCTACCGGTAGGTCTTCCAAAAATCTCAATTTTAAAGAATGTTTTGCCATATTTTCAGGCTTCATATTCTTTTATTCAAACGATGTAAATGGACAATAATGAAGTATAAATTATGGTATATTAGACCTCAGATGAGTCATGTGGTTGAATGGTATACAGGTTGTGCGTTTGGGAGAGCTCGGTACAGGGGAGACTATGTCCAAAATTTGTATTTTTATGATCCCGGTAAAGGGGATGTTGTGTCGTGGTGTCGGATTATGCGACATTCACAGGTATTTTCGCTGGTTGATGGGTGATCAAAGGGTTGACAAAAGACCCCTAGTTTTAGGGGCGTCACATGTACAAACACTAAATTAAGGCTATTACTACCTCAATTACCTCTTCTCATAAAGATTGATTAATTAATTGTGAAAACTCTTCTTAAACACCATGATTCCTTAAGTCAAATAAGATTGATGTTATTAATTTGTCAATTAAATGCCCAAACACTCAATCTCTCATGTTGATCCCAATCAAATAGCTCAAATCCTAGCATGTGACTATGGATGATAAATATATTCAATCAATCATTCCATCAAATGCATAGTGTGTGTGTGCTCAAATTGTAAGTATATATGAATATAACAAAGATTAACACCTGTAACTTGTTGGCACAAAAACCCTCTTTGAATAAAACCATAAAGAACCACTTAGGGGTTCACTAAAATGTAATTCATTATTCCAATGTTAATTTACAAGTACTTGAGTTTTATACTTTAAGTAATACCATGGTTAGACGCTTATTTTCTTCAATAAACCTCTCCATCAAAACTCACTCCTCGACTTCTTGGATAGTTCAATTGAACTCCTTGTCGCATGGTTCATTTAGATCTCAAGCACTAATAGGATGCACCCAAGAATCTCAAGATGCACACTTGTCAATGAGTTTGGTTCAACCAAACAAGGTCTTCTTCTCTAATTTGTGAGCTTGGATAGGAATCACTAGATGAAGGCTTTTAGATTTAGAGAATTTAGAGATCTAGGGTTGTGGCTCAAGCTCTCATGATACTAGATAGGCTAAATTTACTCTCAAGAGGCTTAACCTATACTGAGAAGGCATCCCCATATTTATAGTATCATAATAGAATTTGTCATGGGGACTAAGAAAAAACAAATTCGCGAATGAACACTCGATCGGTGGGAGTACGATCATAGGGCGATAGTCACTGGAATAAAAAAAAATCAAACTATGCCTGGGAAAGTAGAACCACTCAAGTGACTATGAGACTGCTCAAGCGCCCCAAAGGGTGACCCCCATTGTTTCTCCGTTTAGCCTTTGCCTGAAATTTCGCTAAGATAGAAAAAGAAGAATAGGTAATAACTGATTTGCAGTTTATAATGATTTTGTAAATTAAAAACAAGGAATTTATAGATTAAAAAAATGACTCTTTAGTTTTGGAATCTAGATCTGTCAATGTTCATCAATTAAATATATTTAGGCAATTAAAATTATTGTAGTTGATTACCAACTTCAGTGTAGTCAACCATAATATTTTACTTTGAAAACTCAATAGACAATTACCTTAAAAATAAGAACTTAAAAGCTAATTCTATGAAACTCGTAGGGAAATATAAACACTATTCATACCAATAATTCAATCAAGTTAATGAATAGTCGAACAATTATATAGAGTATAAAACTTTACTAACTATCATTCAAATTAATCTATAATTTCAAGAAAATATAACATTAAGGCATATGAAAAATAATTGCATAAACATAGATAATCAATTCACAATCTAAGATTCATACTCAAACTAAAGAGCACAAAAGTAAATTACTCACTAGTCATAAGAAAACTTTAAAGCAAAAATAATAAAAATAATTGTGATCCAGGATATTCTCTCAACAGATGAGAGCCCTTATTTATACAAATGAACTAGGTATAGGAAGGGAACAAGGCTTCTTAATAAACATTTGGACTTTTTCCAAACTGGGACATCAGCTTAAAAAGGCGCTTCTGAATAGTCAAAGTTCTCTAGAATCCACAATGCTTAAGTGGCGTCTGGACAGTGATGGCCAATGTAAAACCCCAATCCAATTCCATAAACATAATGAGTGTTTGTTATTAAGCTTAGCAGATGAACATACTATACACAATGAGTCAGTCATAGACTTGTTATAATCCACACATGTATATTAAACTTTTTGCAATTTACATGAGATTGGTCTTAGGCTGTTACAAGTTTCGTATCAGAGTGTACTCATTATTAGAAGATTGTATCATTTATTGCTTATGACGACTATTAGCGCTCTGATTTGCATGAGATTGGTATTGGGGCATGACAACTACCACCGAATGGTTGATGTATGTATCATCAAGTTGGGTCTGAATGATAAGGTGAGTGTCCAAACCATTAAAACTCTCTGGATTTGTCACTTTAATGCTTGCATCCAATCAATAAATGTTGCGTCCGGGCGGTGGTCTTTCATATTCGATTTTTGACTTTGGCTTAAATAAGTAATAATTCTATTTTATTTTGACGTCAATCATTTTGTATAGATTGTGCAAGTAGCGTCCGGACGGTCCTATTTATCAAGGTCCTCTTGGTTTCTGTGTTCTAATTTTTTGGTAATGGATTTGGACCATCCATGGGTATCCACTTTGATTCAAAT